CCGCCTCGAGGGGAGGGGGTCCCTGCCTGTGGCAGGGGTTGGAGCTGGATGAGCTTTAAGGTCCTTTCCAACACAAACCATTGCATGGTTCTATGATTCTATGATTTTGGGAACAGAGGAAGGATGCATGAAAGAAGTTTGACTTGATGCCACCACCAGCAAGTTCTCTCATTGCAGATGAGGGTAAATCTGAGATTTCCTATTGTGATTTTGCAGCATGAGAAACCGCAAATAGAAGCAAAGGGGGGTGGAAAAACCCCAGTGTAAGAGCAGTCAAACACTGAAATAGAGGCCAGGGAGGGTGTGAAACCATTTCCCCTGGTTGTTCCCAAGGCTCAGTGGGACAACAACAATCAGCTGGGTTAAATAATAACCAGGGAGTTATCAGGAAGCTTTGGGAACAAAGCAGGATTCATCTGGTTGACCCTGGGTGCCTGTTACTTGTGTGTCATCAAGAAATCGGCGAACGCTTTGATCCTGACTTGATTCAATCCAACCCTGGAGCTTCTCCCTCCAACCCAAGTTACTGCATGTCTCTAGGGTAGCCCTAAGGCTCAGCCATGGCTCCAGGTTCCACCATGGTCCTGACAGGCTGCAGGTCTATGGGCTGAGGGAATACACACATTGGAGTATTTGGGTGTGTTTTATGTGTACAGCGTTTGTCCATCACCCATCAGCTCTCTGTGCAGGAATGGAGCAGGAGAGACATCAGGGCAGGCAATGCCATCGCTCCTGGCTTCCTTTGGCTGCCACGTGGCAGGTCTGAAGGCTGCTGAGCAACACCATAGCTGCCAACAGGGAGCTGGCAAACAAAGGTGTGGAGCAGTGGTCAGAGGTTCGTTGATAGCATCTGTCCTTTGGTGGGGATTCATCACTACCACATCTTCATTCATAACAGAGATCACACAAGTACCACATTTAACATACATTCTTTCCTGTCTATGATTAGATGAGCTGTATGGTGCTGGAAATTTTTTACTGAGGTTTGAAAATCAAAACTCAAAAGTACTTCCTGCACAGTGTGACACTTACTTACTGTCTGACATATTTATCTTGATAAAGGTGTTTGTGTCCTCTTATTATGGCCCTTAGTGGCTTTACAGGACTGTCTAGAAATGGAGTTTGGTTCAGTGGAACACTAAAATTAACTCCCTGTTTATTCTGATTTGCCAAGCAAAAGGAGAGCAACACACGACACAGCCCATAACTTGAGTGCAGGCAATTGTAAATGCTTTTGCAATGTTGCTACTTGTATTCTCAGCTGGTGACATCAAAGCAACCAGGGCATCGTGTAAGTTCAGGTGCAGATGACCCCCCAGATTTGTCTATGTGAGATACTTCACAAAGAGCTGAGCATCTCCCCACATCTCCATTCTACCCAACCCTAAACATAGAACATTCAAGATCACTTTATTTTCACGAGTCTCCTCAAGGCCTCTTTCACCTCTTTATTCCTCAGGCTGTAGATCAAGGGGTTCAGCATGGGAGTCACCACAGTGTAGAGCACCACAGCCCATTTTCCTGCTCCTCTTGAGCTGCCTGAGCTGGGGTTTAAGTACATAAAAAAGGATGCCCCATAGAAGATGCTCACAGTGGTGAGGTGGGATGTGCAGGTGGAGAAGGCTTTGCGCTTGCCCTTGGCTGAAGTGATGCTGAGGATGGTGGAGATGATGGCCATGTAGGAGAGCAGGACGAGCAGGCTGCTGGACACGCCAAAGAGAGATGCTGCAGTTGTCAGGATGATGTGGCTGAGGGAGGTGCCGGAGGTTGAGAGCGAGATGAGAGGGGAAATGTCACAGAAGAAGAGGTCGATGGTGCTGGAGCTGCAGAAGGACAGGTTGGACATGCTGATGATCTGTCCCATGCCATTGGTCAGCCCCACGAGGTACGACCCAGTCACCAGCTGGAAACAGCACTTTGGGGACATGACAAGGGGATACACCAGGGGATGGCAAATGGCCACGTAACGAGCAAAGGCCATCGTAGCCAGCAGGAAGCTTTCAGTTATCCCAAAGATGTCAAAGAGGAAGACCTGAG